ATTAGGTGGCGCCGCGTGAGAAGAACGAAACGGCGACTGCAGCGTTGAGCGTCCTCCGACACGGGGCGCAGAACTGTCACCGCCGCCGCCGCGGCACCGGAGACACACTGCCCGCGCCCCCGTCGCGCCCCGTTACCTCTCTTACGTACTCACGAGCGGCACACTGCGGCGCGGAAGAGCAAAACTCTAAGCATTGTTTGCACGCCCACTCTTGCAAGTTTACGTTATGCTACTTCGCGAATGAGTAATCCATCTGAGTGTCGCCAGCTCAATAATGCTTTCATTTCGTTGAATTAAGTGCGCAGCAAGAATACGATGATCGCCTGGAAGACCTTTAAAGCGATGAAAAACCATATTCCTTCCTTAAGACAACAAATGTCGGCAAGAAAAAAGTCAACGAAGATCATGAAGGATAACAAAATGCTATGTTTTCTTAATTAATGAAATAACTCAACAATGTAATACCAAGTAATAATAAAATAGTAATGATGATAATAATAAGTATTATACAATGTATGCTGGAAATATCAATACAATTTATCTTTACGCGCTTTTAGGTTTGTTTATAGACGTATATTGGTAACATCGATAAGTTATGGTTCGCATTCAGCGATAGAATGGGATACAATAACTCGTGCACCTAAGCTCATATCTGGCTAAGGGTATTAAAATTGCGACACGTCTCATAACAAAAGATTCTCTGAAATGTAGGCTGAAACAAACACCAAGCAGACATGCTCAATTGTAACACATGAAAGATACTCAAGAAACGAGCAACATGTTTACGAAACAAAGCACGGTCGACATGAAATGCCATCAAATGCCGTAAAAATATGGAGAATATCAATTTTACATAAAGGGATGTTAAAACATTTTGTATTAAATTTTAGTATAGAGAATTATATGATTTCATTACTAGTGTGCCATTACTAGGCCCCTAGGCAATGATAGCCTGAATATTGAATTTCTGTTTCGGAAGAAGAGAAAAAGTGATTCTAGTAACAGAGACGTGTAATGAAATGTTATGGTGCGAACGTAACCTGTGCAAGGTCTTCCAAGGTCTTCCAAGTCAGAATTAGTTTTGCTTTTATAGAGACACTGAGAAAATTGGCTAATTTCGACCGATTTTTTGTTTTTCACTTCCATGGTCTCTATACAGATTCAATTATAACAAAATAATTGCCACAACAGTGTACTACCTATGTATTATCATTATAAAATATAATTTAATCGTACTATTTCTGGTAATAAGGAGTGGGAAAAACAAAGGTCCAATACGACCCAATTGGGATACCGGTTGTCTAGTTTGGATCACCTCTCATTTAAGAGAGGTTTCATTGTTCGAGAATGGACCGTGCGTACACTGCCTACGGATAGCAAAGGACCAGCAACTGTAGGCAACGTACGTGCGTCGTACGCGAAGGTTGTTAAGGCGAGTAGCGCGCACCGGAAGCGTCGGTGGCCTGGCGAAGGCGGGGCGTGGGCGGGGCGTGCGCACGGCGCAACATCCGCCGCTGAGCGCATTCCGAGCTCCTTGCGCCTCCGCGACGCGCGACCCGCGCCCACGGCGCCATCGGCGATCGCTCTCCCGCGCCACTCGGTGATTTTACGCCCCGGTTCAACAGACGACGCCATCAAAAGCAGCGGCGGGAATGGGAGCCCCCAACTGCTTGGTAACAGTGTCAGAATAAATAACAAATATAAAGACAAGATGTTGGGCATCGCGAACTTTCAACATCATCATCATCAGCTGTATACTCATGTATAGACTTAAGGATCGACTCGCTGCTCATTCCGACATAGACTATGAGCAACGAATTAGGAACGAATTAACGTGTGTAAGCAGGGAAGACACTCATGCTGTCCCCGTGGCCCTAAAAAATTCACAGGAATATATTGAATTTAATTTGACATACATTGCTGAATACTTATAATCCAGAGGGTGGCGTCCATAGGGTGGAACAGCTGGGGTAATAATAATAATAATAAATAATAATAATAATAATAACAGAAAGGGGGAATTTTTGTTAGAAATCAGGATCATGGATCTTCTACCCCAGGCCCTTGTTTTCTCTGGGCGCCCCTGTTAATCCAATTTGTCTATTAATCCGGTTCGTTGAACAACGCAATATATATATATATATATATATATATATATATATATATATATATATATATATATATATAGTGGAAATATGTTTGAAGAACTTTAATCCTTTATTATGACATTCACGTTTGAGATTAATGATCTTAATTTAATTATTGATTTATATCAAAGTAAATAACAGAGTTTGTTTTCAAAACAATTTATTTCATGATATTTAAATTTCTTGCCTTGATTCAACTGGTTATTCACTACCTTTTTTATGAATTAATTTGCTTATAAAGATTCTTGTCTGTTATTTACGTATTTCTGTGCGTATTTACACATGTGGTATAAATATTGTTGAAGTGTACACCATTCGTTTGTCCCGTCAGCTCTCTAACAATTGCAAGAATTACTTGGAATAGTCTCCTTACACAGAATGCATGAAGATGCTTGCCCAATGGTCTTGGGTGTTTCGTATTGAAGAGGAAAAACAAAAAGTTTCCGCGCAAGAAAGCATTAAGACACATGAATTAGTTCCTAATGACGTATTTAGTCCCCAAATTGCTACCAAGTTTAATTTGTCTCGTAGGCTTCTTGAATACAGAAAAAAGGGCGAAAGGGTGAAAAAGTCATATAACAGTCAATAAAACGTCCATGAATGTTAGTGGATGATGGATCTACTCTTTGCTCTCAAAATACAATATCTTCAGCGCATGTTAAGAATGAGAAAGTTCACATTTTATTCGTCAGTTTAGTCCTTGAACATGTTGCAGTGTACTTTAGTGACATTGGGCTAGGCGTGGATCAAGGAAATACTTGAGGAGAGGGGACAAGGGAGTACAAATGCCACTTGAAGATTATTATAAATCATTGATTCCCAAAAAACTTGTAATATTGTAAAGAGTAAAAAAGAATGTATTGTTATTCAATATAACAATATATGTTTTATTACCAAATAAAATAAGCAGTTCGGACGTGGGAAGTTTCGCTCTAGACAGATGGTGGTATAAGATTGTTGTTGGTTGTTGTTGATAAGGTTGAAGATTATCAAGTTAAAAATTGTTAACCATTAATAATAAGAATGACCGAATCGAACTGAATTCCCTGAAGCTTTTATGCATATCAAAAAGACACTTGCTTGATCTGAAGCTATTAAAACTATTTACGCCTCTCTCCCAGGTGCCATAAAGAATATGTCGTAAAGTTTTTCACATGACAAAAATCACGAAGGAAATAAAACGAAAACAAGTAATTCACGGAAAATGGCTAAGATTACAACGTCAATAACCAAGTAACTGTCACAAACACGTATAAAACAAAGTTCACGTCAAAGCAGTCCTCTTTAGTATCGTTATCAGTAGAGTATGACGAAGGCATATTTTGCTGACGTCACTTTTTAGACCATCTTTATTCAAGAGCAAGTTGAGTCAGAATCAGGTCAGAAGTGCAGCACGAGTGCTTTGTTCAAATCACACGATGTCAGCAACGGTCACGTAATGGTGCTCAAAATAGCCAGCTCAGGGTTTCTTATTTAA